TCACAGTATATTCCGCCTTTTTATGGTAGATCCACTCATGATTTTCATAGCGGCGATTCCCTCCATTTTTTAAATGTAAATCATCCTGGTACTGAAAAAGTTAACTCTTTTATTTCTATGAACTAAGTAACTCTCTACACCCCTTACTGCTGACCTGAAAGCAGACAAGGTTTGGATAGAACGGAGTTAAATACAGTAAGACCTCGTTAATACAAACTAGTTTTAAGACGAACAATTGATTAAAATGAACACAATTTTGGTCACAACAAAAATGTTTTTTTCATAAAACATCTGTAAGTCCCCGGTTAGCAAGGACTATTTTAATACTAACTATTGACATTTTGGCTCCAGAATTTACTGTATTACATAGAACAGCAGAAGTGAAACAACAAACTGGATGTGCCTGGCTAACACAGTAAATGCCTGCAATAGAGGAAAGGCCATTACGTTTAATTTCTCTGGGCTAATGTTTCCGTACCAACCAAGGAGCCGAGTGTGATCAGGTATTAAAAATGAGTATCAAACCATGAAAGATGTTATGTTCTACCCATCGATCGATCGGTTTGTTCCCTCGTAGATGCTATCTGAATATTTGCCACCATGATACTTAAATAAGATCTCAGTCTGCATGGATCTCGGGAATCTATAACACAGTGCTATCCCTAATACTTTCAGAGCTTTGATTCTAGAACCGAAAAAAAAATGGCGGTGGTACACACCACAAACGGGAGCCGCCGTGGTGGAGCAGCTAGACACTCGCCAGCGGATCCGAAGCTCATGGATTCGTAATAACCTTGTTTTTCAGTTCGACCAAGCTTTAAATGGGTAAAAGGTAAAATCCCGAGAAGTAAAACGGTCGTCATGATGTTAACCACATCACCCACAAAGTGCCGATTGTCTATGAAATACAGAACTAGCATTAGTTGCCCTATTCGTCTGAAGGCGTGGAGAGGGGTCCTATACTTTACTCACTTTACTTACTCATCACAACTTGTTTACTACAGTTAAAAATAAAGAACCCTTTTGATGCAAATGGTTTTCAGAATGTCTCATTTGTCCAGTATAAGTGTTTCAGCAAACATCGCCTTTGTAGCCAAACCCTTTAGAAACACACTAGCCGTACCTAGCTGCGCGTTGCTGTGCCTTAGTCTGACTAAATGGACAAGAAAGAAAATTGAAATAGCAATTAATGTCTGCCCAGATGTAGAGACAGTCTGGTTTGCCTACTCTAGGACACGCATCATAAAGTTGTGTCTTTATCTAAGTGGTTGTTTAAATTATATTATTGAGATTGAAAGACAAATGTTTGTTTGTTAATCACACGCTAAAGCTTTTTGTATTTTTCAAACAGCTGAAAGTAAAGCTTACTACTGTATCCCTATTTAACTAACAAATTGGGGAAATAGCTAGAAAAGCCGTGGTAACATTATTAAAATATAAATAGTTAATTAATATAATTAAAAAAATAAAATAAAAAATCATATTTTAAGCTCTCTCAGTTTACACTTTCTGTCATTACCCTTTCCCTTCCCCAATACACCGACTACTCATGTCTTCCTTTCCGAAGGATTTGAAATTCATCACCTGACGATCTATATTTTTGTTAAATTGACCTTGACATCCGTGTCCACCCATACTACAATGGGTAGCAAGTACTGTCACTACTGTCTGTTTTACCACCTATTTAGGTCGGTATAGACAGGGGTCACGATCCTGAGGATTTAGGGCCGCATAGCTAGTGCTGTCGCCACGAACTGTTCAGGTTAATGTTCATTTACTACTTCCGCTGCTGCTATTTTTAGCAGATTATTTTTGCTGGCAAGGCGGTTACTGTGACTTTCCCGACATGGGCAGTAGTGATGTCCTTAACGTCAAGTTCGATGCACATCTCTAAGAAGATCGTGACGAGGGTGGTGGCCATGTTAGTGCAGTCTGTAGCAGCCGGATAATAACAGTTAACAAGGGGAAGAGTTGCCTCATTAATCACCACAAAACGATCGTTATTAGTAGATTTTGTGCTTGTGAAGCTATTGAGGAAAAGATCTAAGAACCTATAGATTTATCCGGAATGCTGTGATGATAATCCTCACCAATCAATAATCTTTCATTCCCAAATCTCTTAATTCCCATAAAGTCTTTCAGGAACTCTTTTTTTTTAAATATTTTTTAATTTTTATTTCCACAACCATCAATTCTAACTTGTTTTTGTTCCCACCTCTTTACATTTCCAAACAGTCTTTTAACAACTGTTGGTCCCTAAAACGAAATAATTTGTTAACGCCACAGCTTCACGCAGTTTTCTGAGGTCAACATTCAAAGTTCGCCTACCAGCTAAAATAAAAAAATAAAAAAAAAAAATCGCGCTGAAAATGCGGCAACGTTAAAAAAATCGGATCGTCGGAAAACAGAACCAAAATATCGATGTGATCGTCGCTGGAACTATGTAGTCAGTGCTTTGAGTGAAATTCTTAAATATACAAAAAAAAAAAAAAAAAAAAAAATAGCGTATTCTAATGCAAGGTTGAGTACAATTTTCAAAGCAATCGGTAAAGAACTATCAGAGATTAACTATTGGGAACAAACGAAAACATATTTTTATTTATGTAGATTATACGGTGTTCAGAGAGTTCCAATATATATACATGATGAATCCTTGATATCACTTCGAACACCATGAAAGTTAGAGTTTAATGCTTTTGTCGTTAAGACAGAAACACAAAGCCTATTGCACAAGATCCATCTGAAAGGATTACAGTACTCATGCATGTTACATTAGTCTACCAAGCAGCGTGACTGGAAAGCACTGCGTGGTAAATCCCGCCTCTGTTGCAGCTTTTATCTGATGCCCGCCTGCTAGAAAACTTTCCTAGCCTAAGAAGATTAGTAAACCAACTCATAATTGGTGTTATCTGACGCCACACGCTGAGGGATATACTGATGATGATGAGATCCGAGCGCCTATGAACTTGTCCAATGTGCAGTGATGATAATCAGTCGATTAACTAACTAGATAAGTTGTTGCTGAATGACCAATGGAGGTCCAGATGCCCCTGGTGCTAACTTGATAATTCAAATATGGTTCATACTTCAAGGACCATTTTTGCATGGAAATCAACGAATTTACTAAAAAAAAAAAAAAGGATTGAAAGAAATCTGTGTGGAAACTGTGAAGCCTAATGTGTAGGAAGTACATGGACAAGAAATGCTTATTTAAGGAACTCTTTGTTGCTGGACATGAGAGACGGGGTTCATTGTTCTAAAATAAATTGGTATCTCACGCAAGAATGTGGGGTTTAGAGCGGTAAGACAATGCTCTAGAAAAACATGAGATGACTGTACTTGAATAAATGCAGACTGTTCCCCCACCCCCCCCCCCCCACCCCCACCCCCCTGAAAAATACATTCCCCCGAAGGCAAGCCCAAATGGATTTTTAAAGAAAAAAATAATTTAAGACCCAGTCTTGTTTTCCGGGAAACACGGTAGTTACTATAATATAATTGTTTATTGTTAATTAAAAGATCATCGTCTGCACACATCGGACCTAACCATAAGTCTCCAATCTCTTCCTGAGTATGTCTCCATGTTTTTTTTTTTTAAGGCTAACAACGCCCATTCTGTTCTGGTTGATGTTGGCTGCTCGTTGCTCCAACTGGTACACCCAGGGTGTCAACATAATAGTAACTTAAAAAAGACAATATTGTGAATTTTTAATTATAGACAGAACCAGATATATTAGTCAGATCTGACACAATACTCCAGTAACAACATAATAAATAGCATTTACAAAAAAAAAAAAAAAAAAAAAAACATTATACACAGATGTTGACAGTTCAAACATTATCGCTCTCAGATTCATACTATATTATGTAAAATGAAAAAAAAAAAGGGGTGGGGGGGGGGGGGTGGGGGGGGGAGATAAAGAAAGGCAGAAAAAATTGCAGCTGCACTAGCCGATAAATGACACAAAATTTACAGAAATTGATCCAAACGTTTAAGAGAAATTGAATCAAGAACTGAAATTCTGACATTAAACAATTATGCTCTTACAAATGGATACAACGGCTATCAACGAACGGCTATCAAAGATAGCAGAAAAGTTGCAATAAAATTATTAGCATTCATGGTGTTTTCAAGTTTATTGCTATCAGTTTACTTTCTAAAATTGTTAATAGATAATTATTGAATTTTTATGAAATTGTCGGAGATTTACAAATGCGAAAACATAAGCAATTGTCATGAAACTCGAGTGCATATAAATCTGCAATTATGATGGATTGACGTTTACATTACTGCATTTAGGAAAACGCGATCTGTAGCTAAATTATTATATCCAAGTGTGTAACTTTTGATTTTGTTGCTGGCAATTTATTCTTTGTATTCATAATAACACAGATGTTTTAAAACTGTCTGTTCATATGTCTACATAAAGACTATTTTGAATATTTAACAAAAAAATGTGAAGCGACTGAGTTTACTTATGCATGCAGACAGTTTGACATACAAATGATCAAACAATTATGTATAGGCATTCAATTAATAAAGAATCAACATACAATACTAAAGTTCTATGCCTCGCCACAAAATGTCATTCTTTAGAGACATATGTAATGTGTCCCAACTACAAGACTGTAGCTTGAGCATTCAGTCTGAGACTTACATTTTGATTAGTTACAAGCAGATGCACACTATTAGGTTAATCACTTACGTGTTCTTGTGTGGTGGGATTAGCGTATTTGGAGCCTTGTCAAACGTTATAAATTTGATCGTGTTTTACAGGCTGGGTTGGGATTCATCCATTAATATAAGCTTTTTTGCTTTGGCAATTTCTGATTTCTGCAGTGCAACTTTTCAACAGTTGTCTAACATTTACATTAATCCGTTGTTTACGAGGTTAGATTTGCCAATGGTATATTCAGAGGTTCAGTTTCTGACTGTAAGGTTAGCACGAGTGCTTTTTTCGAGGGTTACTTTCTTCATCACAGTCTATATCACAGCCGAGAGATGCCTGTGTATAGCTTTTCCTTTACTTGTCAAACAAATCATAACGCCAAAAAGAACTATCATAATTTTGGTTTTCATATATTGTTTTATCGCTATGACCGTTGTCCCACTGTATGGTACAATCTACATAGACTGGAAGTTTCACCCAGGGAAAAACAGAACCGTTATCGGGATAGTTTTCAGAAGACACAAGGATATTGTCATCCCTACAACTTATTTTGTCCAAGCTATTATTGGAGTACTAGCCTTCATTGCTGTTGTCGTGCTGACATTAATTCTAATTTGTAAACTAAGACAGAAAAACAAATGGCGAATATCTGCGAGCTTACAAAAGGAAACGCTTGACTCGATAAGTCGACGAAACCGAGCAACGGTCAAAATTGTCGCACTAATTGCAAGTGTATTAATTATTTGCTATATTCCATCTGTGTGTTTATGTCTAACGACCTTCATAGAGCCGGAATTCACGGAAGGCGGAAAATATTACAATATTTACACAAGTTTTTGGTCTGTTGCCATGATGATGGAGACCATCAATTCAAGCGTGAATATTTTCTTTTATATTAGAATGAGTACAAAGTATAGACAGAAGTTCACTGAATTGTTCTCACCTTGTTTTAAAAACGCGAACAAAATTGTAGAATAAGAGATGACAAGTAATAATGAACATGGCTGTCACAATTATCTGTTACTGTTATTTGTTTAGAGAAAGAAAAAGTGATGTTATTATCTTAAAAGATATCTGCTCTGTACTAACAAAATAAAACAAAAACAAACTGCATTACTGCCTGTTTATACCATTTTAAAAGTGTCGTGGAAGGGGATGGGCGTCTTTGAGTCACTGGATTTAGGGTAGTTGGTCAAGATTATATTGCTGCTACCGACAGAAAAAAAAAATAATCAACTAATAATCTTACCGAGGATTTCAACCTGATACTCTCACAGGGCAACCAACCGTTCTTATCCGTTCGGCCATCAGCTTCTTACTGGCACAGTTAACGTCAATAAAGCAACGCATAAATACAAACAATCGTCAAAACTCTCACAAGATAACTATGGTAATAACTAGGGCTATACCAAATATTCGCTTCGTATTAGCTTCGGGGCCGAATAGTGGACCTAATAACTATTCGGTATTCGGCCGAATAGTTGCGGTCGGGCCGAATACGAATAGCGGTTACCTTACTCCCGTTTCTGCATACACTGTGATGGCCTCAGCGTGTCGTAGCGGGGGAAACTGCGACCCTGTTGCGTGGTACAAACTGCAAAAAATGCCAACAGGGGAGAAAGAGAGGGATCATGCATTTTTTTTTTTTTTTTCAGGTTGTCTTCGCCAAAATCAAATCTGAAGATTTTGCTAACGAGAATATGAAGGTGCGTTTAAATTACATCGAACGAACTGCCGAGCGAACGATGGTTTTGAAAGGGGATGGAGCTCGAAGACAACTAATCACAGACATCAGAAGGAGACATTTTTCAGCTATGTTATGAGAAGCGGAAAAAATTGAACATTTGGTGACCACTGGAAAGATCTTTGGAAGGAGGGATAGAGGAAGACGACAGAAGATTCTTGACAGTCTTGTTGCATGGCATGGAGGTGTGTTAGCACACGAACTGATACATGCTGCAAGAGATAGCAGATTGTGGAGAGGCATAATCGCACACGCCAGTGGGCAAGTCACCTGATGATGATGATACACTATTCGTATTCGGCCGAATAGTTGGTCCCACCATTCGTTTTCGGCCGAATAGTGAAAATCACTATTCGGTACAGCCCTAGTAATAAACAATAGACTAATGATCTAAAACTGACCACACCTCCTGCCTACCAAGGCACACAAAGTTATAACAGTTTAGTGTTGAGATCAACACCAGTTCATACGGTGGGACATTGTAGCAACCAAGAAAGGTGGTTCCATTTCCACACTAAATTTTTTCCTCAAGATTGGTTTCACTGTCTCTCTAGAGAAGGACAGCGTATTATGCTCACACAAAAGACATCACACAACCGACTCTTCCAACATAAGTTCAAGTGTTTCGTTGATGGGAAAAATGACTAGTAGCCACCCGAAGACTATGTATGTTTTTTTTTTCTTCCTCTGAAAGAAGAATCGAAGAGCAACACGATATTGTTATTTGGTCAACAGCAAATAAAACTCATAGTTCTTCTATTATAGTCTTCTGTGTGTGTGTGTGTGTGTGTGTGTGTGTGTGTGTGTGTGTGTGTGTGTAGATTTAAGATATTCTGATACAGGCGCTTTTTCAATACCATATTGTTACACTGTAAAGCATCTTCTTGCTCTCTATGTGACCCACCCCCCCCCCCCCACACACACACATATCAATCATCGTGTCACATAAACCAGTTTCCCGTTTCTTCCAACGTTAAACTCACCATGGTAAACTAAGAATTTCCCGTTTTAAAACCAAATTACAACAACAACAAAACGTGACACTTACAAATCTTGTTCGAAAAATTTTCTCATTAACAGTGTTGACGGTTTGACAAGTCGTATTCAAGGGCACGAACCACAGAGTTAAGACCAAGGTTGTCGAAAATGTTTGGTAGAATAGTACCAACTTTGTGTGTATGTGTGTGTATGTGTGTGTATGCGTGTGTGTGTGTGTGAAATAGAACCAAAACACACCAAAAAGAACACATTTTTAAATTTGTCAGTTAAAAACACTTTACACGTCTTTGAAAACACGTACACACACGTACACACACACACACACACACACACACACACACACACACACACATCTTGCTTTTATTTGATCAGAATTAACATTTCGTGTGCATAATTGTTTCACGCTCTATTTATTACAAAGCTGTTTTGATGGATTCCAGTTGGTGCAAGCTATATTATGGAGCCATAACTTTGATATCTTCAATGCATTTATTGTTTTGAAGCCTTCAAAGAAGAGCGAATTATTACCTTAGCATTGTTTAAAAAAATAATACTGCTTCTGCAGAAGCAGAAAAATGGGGTTAAAAAAAAAATTAAAGAAAATAAGCATTACTATTGATACTATGCCGTTTTCATCTCCACATTTTTGTCCTGAAATTGTGAAGCACAATTTTGCTGGATATTATCCAGGTAGTTGATCTTTGTCTGTTAGTTGCCTCTATTTTGTATTTATTTGTTTTGTAGCAGTCTTCTCTTACAATTGAGATTTCAAGCGGTGCGCAGCTGATGCAAAGAAGGCTAAATAATAACATTTGATGAGCGAAATTGAAGGGGATAGATTACTGAGTAGGTTTTATAGACTTCACAGACAAATGCAAAGGAAGGATCAGCCTATCACAACAGACATTATTTACACTCATAATGAAATACCAATGACAACAGACAAAGAGAAAGGGGAAAAATTTTTCAAGAGACTTATAGCCCAAACTGGTCATAATGATAGGCATATTCGAAATTCTGTATCATATAATAAATGATAATTATTTTGAGGATATCATTAGGGTGGAGGATATAAACATGTATAAAAGCAAAGGACACTGTGACGGGGCCAGACGGAGTCAGGTCTGCCCAGAAGAAGAGCACGAGTGATGAAGACTTGAGGGAGATGGCTTTTTACTTCAACCAGAGCATCAGAACAGCGTAAGTAACCGACTGACTGAATTTCTACCCAACCAGGACATCACACAAGCGATAAACACCCGATGACACAAAGTGCCACCATGCGGATAAGGATCGCCGTGGAGAGGTCCCAGAAACCGCGTTCAGACATTTGGCCATATTGATGGCCTGCCTATATTGCGGCCCCTGGCAAAAGCCAGAGTGGGGCTTCAAATAACAAAAAATTACGTCGTAAGAAGGACTAAAGGATCACATGTAGCGTCGGTAACCCAAGAATAGGTACACGTATGGTTGCCCTTTGCCTGGGAACATGGACCTCACAACCATGTAATATCTCCCACGGTTCTGCAATTTCACCAGTGCTCCTTAATGTGTATACAAACAAGACTGCAAAACATGAATCAGCAGGTTTTGGAAGAATATTGAAATTTGCAAATGATGTTCTTGCATACAGGCAGGGGAGAGATAGGCGACGGATAGCTCACGAGCTGCTGGCAAAGGCGACGGACAGCCCACGAGCTGCTGGCAACTGTGGACAAAGTGACTGACTGGTGTGCAGAAATTGGTGCTGTCATTAACTTAGAAAAGGCAGCTTTTTTTTGTGGTGCTCTCTGGACAATAGAATTGTAAAAGCTAACGTTCCAAACCTTACAGGTAATAACGGTAACATCAAAAGAGAAAGAAAAACTGAGGTACCTAGGTATCATTTTCGATAAAAACCTGTCCTTCAAGGATCATGTGGAAGTAGTTGCGGTGAAATGCCAAAAAAAGACTCAATGCTTTCAAGATAATGGCAGCAATGGACATGAAACAAAGAATGTTGTTCACAAAATTCCAGCATGTGATTCTGTAGGTGATAGATTATGGACTCTTATTACTCTTTTTATCTGTATTTTCATCATTCATCTATAAACGACATATCCGCAGCTTCCAAATAAGTATTCACTAATTTACTAACTGTCCATGATTCACATCCGTATATCAATACAGGATTTATATAACTTTTAAGAATTCTCTTTCTTGTCTCCATTGACAAAGACAGATTGCATACAATATTAATCATTTTGTAAAATCCAGCCTTTACTATAAAAAAAAAACAATTTACAGGAATATTACTAAATAAAGCTAATGTTCGCTATTTAAAATCCTACTTCAAGCATAACTCAAGAAAGACATTGCTGACTTCCGGTCCTGTATGACAATTTTACTTTTGGCAATTCTAGATATGGTTGACTGTTACATTTTCCATATGTGTGTACTGAGACTAAATAGTTTCGGTATCCAGATACTTAGCTGAGGTGATTGCGCGACAATGATAGCTGCGAATTTCAAATAGACTGCTTTACGACTGTGTCAAACGGAGATGGTGCTTCTCACTGCATATTACTCAAGTGGCGAATGGGCGGTTGCCATAGACCTGCTGGCGCCAAAAGACAGTCGGTACTCTGATGGGTAATGCGATCAACCGTAAGTTATAAACTGGCGTCCGGGTGCATGAGGCAACACATGTTGTGTTGTTATATCTTGTACTTTCCCTCATGCAAGCTTCTTTTTTTCTTCTTCTTTTTCCCTTTTTCTTCCTTTTTCTTCTCTTTTTTTCTTCTTCTTTCTTCTTTTTTCTTTTTCCCTTCTTCCCCCCCCTTTCTCCTTTTTTCTTTTCTTCTTCTTCTTCTTTTTCCCTTTTCTTCTTCTTCTTCTTCCTTCTTTTTTTTTCTTCTTCTTCTTTTTTTCTTTCTTCTTCCTTCTTTCCTTCCTTTCTTCTTCTTTCTTCTTCTTTCTTCTTCTTCTTCTTCTTTTTCCCTTCTTCTTTTCTTTTTCTCTTTTTTCTTCTTTTTCTTCTTCTTCTTCCTTCTTCTTCTTCTTTTCTTTCTTCTTTTTTTCCCTTCCTTCTTCTTCTTCCTTTTTCTTCCTTCTTCTTCTTTTCTTTTCTTCTTCTTCTTCTTTTTTCTTCTTCTTCTTCTTTTTTCTTTTTCCCTTCTTTTTCTTCTTCTTTCTTCCTTCTTCTTCTTCTTCTTCTTCTTCTTCTTCTTTTCTTCCTTCTTCTTCTTCCTTTCTT